GAGTGACGTCATATGTAGTAAAGTGACGCCAGGTGTAGTAGCGTGATGTCAGATGTAGTAGAGTGACGTCAGGTGTAGTCGAGTGAGGTCATGTGTAGTAGAGTGACATCAGGTGAAGTAGATTGACGTCAGATTTAATAGAGTGTTGTCAAGTGTATTAGAGTGACACCAGGTGTAGTAGAGTGACGTCAGGTGTAGTAGAGTGACGTCAGATTTAAAAGAGCGTCGTCAAGTGTATTAGAGTGACGCCAGGTGTAGTAGAGTGACGTCAGGTTTAATAGTGTCGTCAAGTGTAGTAAAGTGACGTCAGGTATAGTAGAGTGACGTCAGGTATAGTATAGTGACGTCAGGTGTAGTAGAGTGACGTCAGGTGTAGTAGAGTGATGTCAGGTTTAGTAGAGTGAGGTCAAGTGTAGTAGGGGTTGGACGTCAGGTGTTGCAGTATTCCGTCAGGTGTAGCAGGGGGACGCACGTGTAGTGGGGGTGACGTAGATGTAGTAAAGGGATGTCAGATGTAGTAGAGTGACGTCAGGTGTAGTAGAGTGACGCCATGGTAGTAGAGTGACATCAGGTGTAGTAGGTGACGTCAGATTTAATAGAGTGTTGTCAAGTGTATTAGAGTGACACCAGGTGTAGTAGGTGACGTAGGTGTAGTAGAGGGGACGTCAGGTGTTGTAGTATTCCGCCAGGTGTAGCAGGGGGAGTCACGTTGTAGTAGGGGGGAGCCAGGTGTAGTAGCGTGATGTCAGATTGTAGTAGAGTGACGTCAGGTGTAGTTAGAGTGACGTCATGTTGTAGGTGGAAGGTGTAGTAGGGTGACGTCAGTTTTAAATAGAGTGTTGTCAAGTGTATTAGAGTGACCCCAGGTGTATAGAGTGGACGTCAGGTGTTGTGAATGCGTCAGATTTAATAGAGCGTCGTAAGTGTATAGAGTGACGCCAGGTGGTAGTAGAGTGCGTCAGGTGTAGTAGAGTACGTCAAGCGCAGTAGAGTGATGTCAGGTTTAATAGAGTGTCGTCAAGTGCAGTAGTGTGCGTCAGGTATAGTAGGTGACGTCGGGTATAGTATAGTGACGTCAGGTGTAGTAGAGTATGTCAGGTTTAGTAAGTGGGGTCAAGTGTAGTAGAGTGACGTCAGGTGTTTTTAGTATTCCGTCAGGTGTAGTAGTGTGAGGGTCAGATGTAGTAAAGGGATGTCAGATGTAGTAGTGACGTCACGTGTAGCAGAGTGACGTCAGGTGTTGTGGGTTTCTGACAGGTTTAGTAGAGTGACGTCAGTTGTAGTAGAGTGACGAAAGATGCAGTAGAGTGATGCCAGATGCAGTGGAGTGACGTCAGGTGTATTTAGAGTGATGTCAGGTTGTAGCAGAGTGACGTCAAGTTTTGTAGGTGACGTCAGGTGTAGTAGAGTGACACCAGGTGTAGTAGAGTGACGTCATGTTTAGTAGAGAGATGTCGGGTGTAATAGAGTAACGTCAGGTGTAGTAGAGTGATGCCAGGTGTAGCAGAGTGACGTCAAGTGTATTTAGAGGGGACGTCAGGTATAGTAGTGACGTCAGTCTAGTAGAGTGACGTCAGGTGTAGTAGAGTGACATTATGTGTAGCAGAGTGATGTCAGGTGTAGTAGGATGTTTGGCAAGAGTAATAATGTCAAGTGTAACAGAGTGACGTCAGGTGTTGTAGAGTGATGTCAGGTTTAATAGAGTGACGTCAGTGTTTTAAGAGTGACGTTAGGTGTAGTATAGTGACGTCAGGTTTTAGTAGAGTGATGTCAGGTTTAACAGAGTGTCGTAAAGTGTATTAGAGTGACGTCAGGTGTATTAGAGTGACGTCATGTGTAGTAGAGTGACGTCAGGTGTGCTGGGTGACGTCAGGTGTAGTAGAGTGACCTCAGGTTTAATAGAGTGTCGTCAAGTGTATTAGAGTGACGTCAAATGTATTATAGTGACGTCAGGTGTAGTATAGTGACGTCAGATGTAGTAGAGTGACGCCAGGTTTAACAGAGTGTCGTCAAGTGTATTAGAGTGACGTCAGGTGTAGTAGCACGTCAGGTGTAGCATAGTGACGTCAAGTGTAGAAGAGTGACGTCAGGTGTAGTAGAGTAATGTCAGGTTTAGTAGATAGTAGAGTGACGTCAGGTGTAGTAGAGTGCTGTCAAGTGTAGTAGAGTGACGTCAGGTGTAGTAGAGTGTCGTCAGGTGTTGTAGTATTAGGTCAGGTGTAGCAGGGGGGACGTCACGTATAGTAGGGTGACGTCAGATGTAGTAAAATGATGTCAGATGTAGTAGAGTGCGTCACGTGTAGCAGAGTGACGTCAGGTGTTGTAGGATGATGACAGGTTTAGTAGAGTGACGTAAGGTGTAGCAGGGTGACATCAGATGTAGTAGAGTGACGTCAGGCGTAGTAGAGTGAGGGTCAAAATGTAACAGTGACGTTTTGTTGTAGTAGAGTGACGTCAGGTGTTGTAGTATGAGTCAGGTGCAGTAAACTGAACTGACGTCAGGTGTTTTGCAGGGGGACGTCACGTGTAGTAGGGTGACGTAGATGTAGTAAAATAATGTCAGATGTAGTAGAGTGACGTCACGTGTAGTAGAGTGACGTCAGTGTTGTAGGATGACGTCAGGCGTGGTAGGGTGAACTCAGGTGTAGTAGAATGACGTCAGATGTAGTAATTTCAGGTGTAGTAGGGTGAGGTCACGTGTATTAGGTGAGTCAGATGTGGTAAAGTGACGTCACTTATAGTAGGGTTTCATATCTAGCGAATGCCTAGTAATCAGAAATGAATCTGATTTCTGTGTGATGGTGTCGGGGTGGCACTCAGAGCAGTGTCTGCCATCATGCCATCTTCAACCCCTGCTGTTACTTCCCAGTGTCTGCCATGCCATCTTAAACCCCCTGCTGTTATTCCCCAGTGTCTGCCATCATGCCATCTTCAACCCTTGCTGTTACTTCCCAGTGTCTGCCTTTCATGCCAGCCTCTCCCCCTGCTGAGGTATAACAAAGGTACGTACCTACGTCCCTTGGATATCCCTCAGAAGGATTTCGGAAGTTTTACTGTTCTCACACCCCGGCCCTGGGTCAGACTTGTCTGGTGCTTGCCTGATCAATCAGGCTGTTACTATTGGCTGCCAGCGTGCCATGGGCATACACATACGTACTTTTAAACAAGCGCATACGTACTGTGGGGTATACGCCAGCGTGATATGGGCACCCCAAATATGTAATAAAGGGACACCCAAACATATTATGGGTACGCCCCTTCGTGCTACTGACCCACAGTTATGCACTAGAGTACGTAACAGAGGCAAGCACGAACCCACTGCTTAAAACGTATGCAGCTTGTGTATCTCAGTAACAGTACTGTGTGCCAGCAATGTGCGTTTTAAACAAGCTTAGCACGGGGCAAGCCAGAAGAAGCTTCAAACTACCGTATCAAACCCAAGGGACAAGTGTCACGGCACGCGTCACATTTCAAGAAAGTGTCAAGGCACGCGTCACGTGTCAAGACAAGTGTCAGGACACACACACAACAGTACCCTCCTCCAGCAAGATGGAGGGGATGCTGTGTAAATCTCAGCTTCAACATAGGCAAGTCAATACACATCACCAATTTCTCGTATAGATTTCAATACAGTATGTCTCCCGCCGGTATGCAGGGGTCGAGTGACAGCTCCTGGTCTCCTGGCTCTCAGTGTATATACACAGGATATACTTCAATATCAGTTTTATGTATTAAAGTATACATGCCTAGTGGAGCGGGGGTGAGAGTATTAATAACCCTGGCGTAGTAATGGTGAGGCGTCAAGCCCCATTAACCAGCCTCATCGCGGTGGGATAATTATTTTACAAGACATAGGAACTTGCAAATGGATAATGGAAGTTGAAAAATATAAATCAATTAGCGACGTGAGTGTGTGTTTGCTTGGTGCATGTGTGTATGTGTGTGTGTGTGTGTGTGTGTGTGTGTGTGTGTGTGTGTTGTGTGTGTGGGGTGTGTGTGTATGTGTGTGATGTTTTGGCAGTGTTGTGGGTGTTTTACCGCCCAAGGTGTTTTGGGTGGGCAGTGTTGTTGTGGGTGTTGCCGCCCAAGGTGTTGTTGGATGGCATGTTGTTGGGGGTTTTGTTGCCCCCCAAGGTGTTGTTGGATGGCGTGTTGTTGTGGGTGTTGCCGCCCAAGGTGTTGTTGGATGGCAGTGTTGTGGGTGTTGCCGCCACAGGTGTTGTTGGATGGCAGTGTTGTTGTGGGTGTTGCCGCCCCAGATGTTGTTGGATGGCAGTGTTGTTGTGGGTGTTGCCGCCCAAGGTGTTGTTGGGTGGCAGTGTTGTTGTGGGTGTTGCCGCCCATGGGTTGGGGTGGCAGTGTTGTGGGTGTTGCCGCCCCAGGTGTTGTTGGATGGCAGTGTTGTTGTGGGTGTTGCCGCTCAAGGTGTTCTTGGGTGGCAGTGTTGTGGGTGTTGCCGCCCCAGGTGTTGTTGGGTGGCAGTGTTGTTGTGGGTGTTGCCGCCACAGGTGTTGTTGGATGGCAGTGTTGTTGTGGGTGTTGCCGCCACAGGTGTTGTTGGGTGGCAGTGTTGTTGTGGGTGTTGCCGCCACAGGTGTTGTTGGGTGGCAGTGTTGTTGTGGGTGTTGCCGCCACAGGTGTTGTTGGGTGGCAGTGTTGTTGTGGGTGTTGCCGCCGCCCCCAGGACAGCCTAGGCCGCTGATTGGTGCTCTGAGGACAATCCCTCATCGTCACTTTTCATAAATTCTCTGCTAAATTATTCCCATATTAATTCATTAACCTGCCACATACACCGGTATCTACCCTATTCCATTGCGCTCTACCATCACCATATAATTGAAATTTTGTGTGGTAAAGTCAGAAATCGTCGGCATATGATAAATTAAAGAGGAATTAGTTATTTATTAGCGAGGTGTGAGGAGCGCAGTACGAGAGTGTGGGCTGGACATGGTGAAGAGCACGTGCAGGGCGGACGCACGCGGCATAACACGTGTTGACGTTGTTCAGTACGCACTCGTCGTTTACCCGTACGATGAAAAAGTGTTAAAAATGCCGAGTGAGAGATTCTTGACAGCGTAATTACCTTCCTCGGGCGTTGTGAGAGACTGTACGACCCCAAGAGACATTAACGTGTCTCAGTGAGATAAACATCTGAAAGTGATTTTGAGAGACATTTTTTTGCGATTTGAAGATGATTCTGTACGGGAACGCCGCTCTCACGCCCTCACCTTCATCGTCGTCATCTTCACCTGTGTCCCAGACGAGCATGTCACCTCAGTGTGGAGCAGCTGATGTCACTCTCACACGCTGCAAGAATGAAATCAGTGACATCCTCCTGCCACCCTCCATACACCCAATGTTGATGTGTGAGTTGATGTTGATGTGTGAGTTAATGTTGATGTGTGAGTTAATGTTGATGTGTGAGTTAATGTTGATGTGTGAGTTAATGTTGATGTGTGAGTTAATGATGTTGATGTGTGAGTTAATGTTGATGTGTGAGTTAATGTTGATGTGTGATTTGATGTTGATGTGTGAGTTGTGTTGATGTGTGAGTTAATGTTGATGTGTGAGTTAATGATGTTGATGTGTGAGTTAATGTTAATGTGTGAGTTAATGTTGATGTGTGAGTTGATGTTGATGTGTGAGTTGATGATGATGTGTGAGTTGATGTTGATGTGTGAGTTAATGTTGATGTGTGAGTTGATGTTGATGTGTGAGTTGATGATGATGTGTGAGTTGATGTTGATGTGTGAGTTGATGATGTGTGAGTTGATGTTGATGTGTGAGTTGATGTTGATGTGTGAGTTGATGATGTGTGAGTTGTGTTGATGTGTGATTTGATGTTGATGTGTGAGTTGATGTTGATGTGTGAGTTGATGATGTGTGAGTTGATGTTGATGTGTGAGTTGATGTTGATGTGTGAGTTGTGTTGATGTGTGAGTTAATGATGCTGATGTGAGTTAATGATGTTGATGTGTGAGTTAATGATGATGTGTGAGTTGATGATGATGTGTGGTTGATGTTGATGTGTGAGTTGATGTTGATGTGTGAGTTAATGATGCTGTTGTGAGTTAATGATGTTGGTGTGTGAGTTAATGATGCTGATGTGTGAGTTAATGATGATGTGTGAGTTAATGATGTTGATGTGAGTTAATGATGTTGATGTGAGTTAATGTTGATGTGAGTTAATGATGTGATGTGTGAGTTAATGTTGTTGATGTGTGAGTTAATGTGTTGATGTGGAGTTAATGATGTTGATGTGAGTTAATGATGCTGATATGTGAGTTAATGTTGTGTGAGTTAATGATGTTGATGTGTAAGTCTTGTGATCTCGATATGTTGAGTGTCGATGTGCGTATATTGATGTGATTGCTGTTTTGGGCGTGTTAAAGTGTGAATGAAGTTAATACTAGCATGTTAATGTGTGTATTGATGTAGTTACCCTCTGTATAAGGCTCTTATAATAGCGTGTGTGTTGTGTGTATATATGTATTTGTATAGATACTTTCTTGCAGCATCTAATTTAGTCAATTTAAAATAGTTCTTGGGCCGATGTGTCTATGTGAATGTGGATTTGGTAAAGCTGTATCACCTGTCTCCGCAGACGGGTATCGACGACCCTGCCACCGCAGGGGGTCATCCCGGCAGGAGGTGGTCGAAATCTTTTCGCTTTATCCAGGCATATTCAAAGACCGTCAAAGGGTTATCTCTTGTTTTGTCAACTCTCGCTCGCTCTCAGTTATCCATGGCTTGCTATTATATTATATTATATATATATATATATATATATATATATATATATATTTATATATATATATAATATTTTATATATATATATGTAATATGATTTAAATGGTTTTAAAGGGGATTTGAAGCCTACGATTATAATCGTTTGGCTACTGAAACTGTGTGTGTGTGTGTGTGTGTGTTTATATATATATAATATATATATTATATATATAATATATATATATATATATATATATTTATAAATATATTTATGCAAAAAGATTTACAGTAAGCAGGGGATTTCAGAATAGGCAAATCAACCACTGAAAATTAAAATGGTATAAAATAACCGACGATTGTTAGGTAAGACACATAAGCAACAGTTAGGTATCTTTATTTTGAAACGTTTCGCCTAAAACAGTAGGCTTCTTCAGTCGAGTACAGAAAAGAGATAGAAGCAGAAGAGACTTGAAGAGATGTAACAGTCCATCACCCTTAAAGTTTTGAGGTGGTCCCGTCCCCCAGTCTGGAGAAGAGCATTGTTCCAAAGTTTGAAACAATGGAGTTGAAGTGACAGGATGGAGCTAATCTTACCTATATGCACATAGCTATATGTACACTTATCTATGGAAGGAAACGTGTTTGAGATGGTCGAAATCCCAGCTCCTGGTCTCCGCCTTTCAACTTGCAGCTTACCAGATTTGCTATTAGCCTCGAGTCATATCGTACCTGCTCTTAAAGCTATGTATAGAGTCTGCCTTCACCCACCTTTCGTCGACGTCATTCCATTGTCTGACCATCTGATGCTGAAGAAGTACTTCCTGTTCTAACAATTGACCTCTTAACGTCAGATTAATTCCCCGTGTCTCTTTAGTGATGTGTATGTGTGTGTTTGTAAGAACAGAAGTAAGGAGAAACACTACAGCAGGCCTATGGCTCATACTAGGTAGGTCCTTCTCAAAACCCCCTAACAAAATACTTGCCAACCCATTTTCAACGATATGTGAAGTTGATGTTACTCACCTTAATACACACCTATATGTGGTTGCAGGGGTCGACTCGTAGCTCCTGGCCTCGTACCTTCGCTGGTTCCTGCTCCTTTATCGTACCTATTCTTAAAGCTGTGGGATTGATCCTGCCTGCATTACATCACTCTCCCGGGTTGTTCCACTTCCTAACAACTTTGTGACTCCTTGTTGCTGTGACACCCCACACACACACACACACACACACACACACACACACACCCCACACACACACACACACACAGTGTGTGTGTGTGTCACAGTTTTGATATTACGGAATGACTCTTAATACAAGCAGATGGCGTACTTTCGCTTCCTCGGATCAAACCTCATCACCCCTTACCTTTCCTATGCAACGCTGGTCACCCCTACGGATTTAGCGCTTCCCATCCATATCAAATACCAGTTAATGTGTGCATCGTCAACTTAGGTGCGTTCATGTGTCCCTGTGTGTTGATAGTATGTACTGCATGTGCGTATAGGTTGGGTGAATGTGTGTGAGTTTATGTACATAGTGTCTTGTGTAAGTAGCTAGCTGCCAGGTACACATGTGTGGTACACCTGAACACTGAGAATGATGATCATTTATGAACATTTATCATATTTGTGATGTGAGATACTCCGCGAGTACTGGTGCTAACACACTGTGCGAGTCTGGTGCTAACACTGTGCGAGTACTGGTGCTAACACTGTGCGAGTACTGGTGCTAACACTGTGCGAGTACTGGTGCTAACACTGTGCGAGTACTGGTGCTAACACACTGTGCGAGTACTGGTGCTAACACTGTGCGGTACTGGTGCTAACACACTGTGCGAGTACTGGTGCTAACACTGTGCGGGGTACTGGTGCTAAACCCCTGTGCGAGTAAATGGTGCTAACACTGTGCGAGTACTGGTGCTAACACTGTGCGAGTACTGGTGCTAACACTGTGCGAGTATGGTGCTAACACACTGCGAGTATGGTGCTAACACACTGTGCGAGTACTGGTGCTAACACACTGTGCGAGTGCTGGTGCCTAACACACTGTGCGAGTGCTGGTGCTAACACACTGTGCGAGTACTGGTGCTAACACACTGTGCGAGTGCTGGTGCTAACACTGTGCGAGTACTGGTGCTAACACTGCGAGTGCTGGTGCTAACACACTGTGCGAGTACTGGTGCTAACACACTGTGCGAGTATGGTGCTAACACACTGTGCGAGTACTGGTGCTAACACACTGTGCGAGTACTGGTGCTAACACACTGTGCGAGTACTGGTGCTAACACACTGTGCGAGTGCTGGTGCTAACACACTGTGCGAGTACTGGTGCTAACACACTGTGCGAGTACTGGGGCTAACACACTGTGCGAGTACTGGGGGCTAACACACTGTGCGAGTACTGGTGCTAACACACTGTGCGAGTACTGGTGCTAACACACTGTGCGAGTGCTGGTGCTAACACACTGTGGGAGTACTGGTGCTAACACACTCCTCGAGTACTGGTGCTAACACACTGTGCGAGTGCTGGTGCTAACACACTTCTCGAGTACTGGTGCTAACACACTGTGCGAGTACTGGTGCTAACACACTCCGCGAGTACTGGCGCTAACACTCCGCGAGTACTGGTGCTAACACACTCCGCGAGTACTGGTGCTAAAACTCCACGAGTACTGGCGCTAACACACTTCGCGAGTACTGGTGCTAACACTCCGCGAGTACTGGCGCTAACACACTCCGCGAGTACTGGTGCTAACACTCCGCGAGTACTGGCGCTAACACTCCGCGGGTACTGGCGCTAACACACTCTGCGAGTACTGGTGCTAACACACTCCGCGAGTACTGGTGCTAACACACTCCGCGAGTACTGGCGCTAACACACTCCGCGAGTACTGGTGCTAACACACTCCGCGAGTACTGGCGCTAACACACTCCGCGAGTACTGGCGCTAACACTCCGCGAGTACTGGTGCTAACACACTCCCCGAGTACTGGTGCTAACACACTCCACGAGTACTGGCGCTGACACACTCCGCGAGTACTGATGCTAACACACTCCGCGAGTACTGGTGCTAACACACTCCACGAGTATGGCGCTAACACTCCGCGAGTTTCTGGTGGGTAAACACTCCGGAGTACTGGTGCTAAACACACTCCGCGAGTTTCTGGTGTAACACACTCCCCGAGTACTGGCGCTAAACACACTCCTTGAGTACTGGCGCTAACACACTCCTTGAGTACTGGCGCTAACACACTCCGCGAGTACTGGTGCTAACACACTCCTTGAGTACTGGTGCTAACACACTCCTTGAGTACTGGTGCTAACACACTCCTTGAGTACTGGCGCTGACACACTCCGCGAGTACTGGTGCTAACACACTCCCGCTAGTACTGCCGCTAACACACTCTCGCGAGTACTGGTGCCAACACTCCCGCGAGTACTGGCCCTAACGCTCCCGCGAGTACTGGCGCCAACACACTCCCACGAGTACTCGCGCTAACACCCCGCGAGTACTGGTGCTAACACTCCGCGAGTACTGGCGCTAACACACTCCGGTAGTACTGGTGCTAGCACACTCTGCGAGTACTGGTACTAGCACACTCCGCGAGTACTGGCGCTAACACTCCGCGAGTACT